AGGGCCCGGCGCTGTGAGCGCTGCGGGCCCAGGCCGGGCTAGCTTCCTCCGGAGCCGGTCAGGTGCCGGGCTCCCTCGAGGCGCCCTGGCCGCGCGGCCCGCGGGGAAATCGGGTGTGCAGGCCGGGTGCAGAAAGTCAGCGGCAGGAGTGAGGCCGCCCGCTCCGGGTGAGGAGTTACAGTACAGGCAGTGAGAAACAAGGCGGAGTCAGGGTGGGGGTGAGCTCGGCGCCGGGAGGGGGCGTTCCTGCCCACGCCTCGCGGAGCCTGCCAGCTCGTCTGCAGCGCGTGTGCGCTGGTTCGGTTATTTTGGAAACTTGGGGCATCCAAGATACTTTCAGCTACCCTTTGTACATACCGTACTCTGAAATGAAATTGTACTCCTCCGACTCGTGGTTCCCGAAGCCCCAGTAACGGCTACATTTATTCGGCGCTGCGAGATCTGCGCGTTTTACCCTCGCGGCGTTCTGCCGGGCTGCGGTGTTGCTCTTCCCGCTTTCCAGCGCTCAGCCCTTGGGGAGCATCTCCCGCTCCTCTGGCTGCTCCTGGGCTGGCGGACTTGCCCGGGATGCCCGCTGGCCCGGGAGTGAGGGCCAGGCGGGGCGCGGCCGTGTGGGCTGGGGACGGGCACCGAGCTTGCTGTCTCACGGGGAGTCACACGTCTGTCGCTGCTTTGCTGTCAGGCTGTCCCTCCACCTTCCCATGAAGATTGGTGACTTGGTAGAGATTTGCTAAGATACTTGCTTGCTCTCTTGCTGGCTACTGGTATTAGCAGGCAGAGGAAGGAAACTGACGGCACCGCTAAGACAAACGCTGTGCCCGCAGTGACGCTGCTGTCCCCATGGAAACCTTCGTGTTACTCCGTAGAGAGTAGTCATTTATCTGGGCTAGTGAGGGCGAGTGTGAAAGTGAAGCGTCCTTGATGTGTCGTGGCAAGGGCGGTGCAGGCCACGGGTCAGCGAGAGCCGTGCGTGAGCTTTCCCTGCAGATGAGCCCGCGCACTGACCGGGAGCGAGGCTTCGCGCGCTCGGGAATGTCAGCAAACTGACTAGTGGCGTTTTCATGTAAGATTTGCATTACATAAACACTTGGGCCTTTTCCGTTCATCTATTTTATGTCGATTTAACTCTGGCCAGCGGGACCCTAAGGAGACCGAGGGGGCCAAGGCTTCACTCATCCCAGTGCCGCCACCCGGGAGGCCCAGCGACATCAGGCCGAGGCAGCCGGACCAGGGTGCCCGGGGCTTCACTAAGATTGTCAGGTGGAACCCAGCATCCACCTGGCTAAGACTTATTTTAATTCTGGGTTCATAAGAAGGAGCCCCATTCACATAATTATAATAAAACAAGCATCTGTTACTAAAATTAATTGAGAGTAATAGCTATTCAGCAAAAATACTCTAAAATACAAAATGAGAAGACTCCCTTTTCCTAATAAGAGTATCTGCTACACACCAACTGTACAAACGAAAGAACTTCTTAAAGGTGGTGTGTGCGTGAGATGTGCAGGACGGGGAATCTTGTCTGATAACTTTGGCCGATGCGCTTTCGGCACCCAGGTCTTGTGCTAAGCACCGCACAAGGTCACTGCAGTTCTGTCTCAAAGGAGGCAGCAGCAGAGTCGTGGGACTGCGTTACAACTGCTTGGCACATTACTTAGCAAATTTTAAAAGTTTCAGATTTTGTTTCCACACCTCCTGCCCAGAGCTCTGAGCTGCCAGAGCGGCGCCCAGTCAGCCCTGCCCGCTGAGAGCCTCTCTCTTCTCTCGCAGCTGTGCCCGCTCCACTGAGCCACACCGGCTAGCCCCGGGACCTGCAGGAATGACGGGCGTGTTGCGGACGCTACTGCTGTTCCGAACTGGGCCCCACAGGCTGGGTTCTTTTTGGAGTGTGCCGATGGCGCCCCGATGGACCCTTCCCTCCGCACACTTGGCCTTTACGACGGATCGCCAGTCCAAGAGAGAAAACGAGAGAACAGTAGAAAAGCTCTGCAAGTTTTCAGCTGACGTCAGGAAAATCCGCAGATTGAAAGGATGGGTGCTTCTGGAGGAAGAAACCTACGTGGAAGAGGTGGTGAGTGTCTTACAAGGCCTGGGCGCCGACGCGGCCGCGGTGGCCAGCATCCTGGAGCGCTGCCCCGAAGCTGTCCTCTGCAGCCCCGCCGCGGTCGCCGCCCAGAGGGACCTCTGGCAGCTGGTGTGCAGGAGTGAGCAAGAGTTAGTCAGGCTCATAGAGCAGTCTCCAGAGGCCTTCTTCACCGTCCAGGACCAGGAGAACCTCAGGCTGAACATCCAGCTCTTTCAGGAGCTAGGGCTCAGGAATGTGGTGATCAGCAGGTTTCTGACAACTGCATCCAGTATTTTCCATCACCCTGTTGAGAAGAACAAGCAAATGATGCGGGTGCTCCAGGACAGCTACCTGAGCAGAGGCGGGTCTGAGGCCAACATGAAAGTTTGGCTGCTAAAATTATTAACCCAGAATCCATTTATTTTGTTCAATTCTCCGGCGGCTGTGAGGGATACACTGCAGTTTCTCCAGGAGCAAGGTTTCACCGACTTGGAAATTCTTCACCTTCTGTCCAAACTCAAAGGGTTCCTTTTTCAGCTTTGCCCACGAGGCATACAGAACAGTATGTCCTTCTCAAAAAAAGCATTTGAATGCACAGATCATGACCTGAAGCAGTTGGTTTTGAAATGTCCTGCTCTTTTGTATTATTCTGTTGCAGTTTTAGAAGAGCGAATTCAGGGATTAGTGAAAGAAGGTATTTCCATAGCTCAGATAAGAGAGACACCAATGGTTCTTGAATTAACACCACAAATAGTTCAGTACAGAATAAGGAAACTAAATTCCTTAGGCTACAGAATAAAGGATGGACATCTCGCAGATCTAAATGGAACAAAAAAGGAGTTTGAGGCTAACTTTGGCAAAATTCAAGCCAAAAGACAAAGGCCTTTATTTAACCCTGTGGCACCCTTAAGTGTTGAAGAGTGATGACTGACATTACTTTTGGCAATACAGAAGGAAACTGTTTTACAGATTCTATGCACTTCAGGCTGTGTAGAGTAAACCATTATTGTAAGGACCACCTTAGCTTCTGAGGAGTGTTTAAAGTTACTTGGAGGGTCCCGGATGTAGCTCAGCTGCACAGAGCCTGCCTGGCAAGCTCGAGGTCCTGAGTTTGATTTCCTCTATCAAAAATAAAATGTAAAGTTATTTTGAAACAGATGATTTCTGCTTCATATGCTGTATTTTAAATTTTAAACTGCATTTATTTCAAATAAAGTTGGTAACTTTATCCTTGAACTATTACTCCTAAACCTTATATACTATTGAACTGGTGCATCTGTGATACTTCGTAAGTAAATCATTTCTAAGAAACTTCACTGTGGGAACGTTGTCATTGTTCATCTCAGATGCAGATCAGTCTTCCTCACTGCCAGCCCTGAAACTTAGCCTTAAGTGAAAAAACAGCAAACTTCTGGTGCATTTTTAAAGAAAACTTCATCTGATTTTTGGAATAAGTAAGTACCTTGGAGAATCAAGTATTACCCAAAAAAGAATAACCAAGAGCCTGCTCCTGGGGTCAGTTTTGGTAAACCGGCCATCATGCCTGGTGGAACACAACCTACCTTTGTGACAGAGGAGGAAACTTAGCGAGGCTCCTGGGCTGCCTTGCCGCAGATTTAGTAAGATGTGAATAAATTCTGTTCAAACCTCATGAATAGAAGAGAGCAAGAAAGTGGTGCAGCGGAAGTCATGCTATTTTACGAAAGCATGGAATGCAAACAATTTTGAAGGCTTTTTTACAGAAACTTCCCTGTAAAATTTATCAATTCATATACATTTGCAGTAAATGAGCTTTCTAGAAAACTTCCTAAAAATCCAGGTCCGCCTACCCAGAAAAAAGTTGGTGCGCACTTGAGTGGTAGCATTTCCGAGTTTCCAGTTCTAACTTGCTCCAAAGTAAACATTACTCAGATAAAGACTGACATTCAGCTGTGAAGTTCAACCTTCTAATACACAGCCACACAGTTGTCTGACACTCAACATTATGCACAGCCTTTTAAGTATAGTGAAGAGATAGGAAGAATGCAGGTGCAGGCCTCGATCCCTTCTTTCAGCAGGTGCAAGTAACCCTGGCTGTCCAAACCTGTCTGCTCCTTAGGATAATGTGTAGCACCTGCGCCAAGTACGGGCACGCTGCAAACACTACTCTCAGTACAGTCAGGGGAAGCCTTGTCCAGAAGCACTGGGGAATGTCTGTCAAGCACATGGACAGACCAGAGGTAGGGAAATTTAAAAACAGGTTGAGGCTATGCAGCTTTTGCTTAAAGAAATGTTTGTGCTCAGCCCAGCAATCCACGGGGGATGGGAGCCACGGGAGAGCAAGCTAGGTCTGGCTGAGGAGCAGCAGGTGGGAGCCCAGCCCGCAGGGGCGCAGCAGGGGTGGGGAAGAGGAGTGAGAAGTAGAGTTGGGAGAGAGAAAAACAACTCCAGCAAAGGCTGAGGTCATTCCTTGAGACTGATGACAAAGCTCACCCCCGCAGTGTTCCTGCACAGGGAGGCAGCTTACGGACTGGACTTTATCCTAGGCCAGGACCCACTCCACTGTTCTGGCCCCAGGGCCTCCGCGAGTTTTGTCTTTTTTCCATTCTTACTCAGAGCGCCCTACAAAACAGAATTTTACAAAACCAACACCATAGCAGGCAAGAGTGCCTCGTAGGATGCTGGGGCTGAATTTCATTTCTACGAAAAGGGGCTCTAATAACAGAACTCCATGTTCTCCAGACAATTTAAGTGTAATTACATTTCCGCAGTGTGTTAGGTGTGCGGACCCCAGCCAAGCGGGAGCCCGTGGGGAAGGGGACGCAGACCCAAGACCCATTTCTGGGCAACTGTGACTTGAGCTAATTTGGAAGTGACAGAGACTGCAACAATACTGCCAGCTCGCCCCTTCCGTATTTAAAATCCAGGAATGCTGAGGAGTTGCAAGGGGGGAGAGCCCAGGGGAAGCAGGTGTGATTTCTACCTCCTCCCCAAGCCTTTCTTACCTCCCTGCCACAGGCAGAGAACCGCAGGTGGTGGTAGATGCAGTCATCAAGGGAAGTGAAACCTTGAACTGTGTGTTTTTCATCTTTATTAGAGTTGCTTAAAATATATCTATTTCACTGTTGTGTTGGCATCAAAATACATATTCTGGGATGTAACGTTTGTACATTATCACCACAAAAATTAAAAACTGGTCATAGCACGTTCAGAACTGCTATGTAACTAAGTTTTAAGATTGTCCTGTTTTTAAGTTTTCCCTTATTTCTTTAGATCTTTACGAAACGTTCTATTATTTTGCATATCATAGTGCTTTATTAACAATTCATGTGTTCTTTGCCCATCCCTTTAATACAAAAAAACTATTCAATTATTTCATCTGACATTTCACTAGTACATGATTTGTAATGTCAATGTTATTAGATCAGTCGTGGGTCATATCTTTGTGTGGCAAATACCCACTCAGAAAGTCCTCGGAATAGCGGATGCCTCCGGGTGCACACCAGAGGTGAGCCAATCCTGTCTCCATAGGCCACGCTGCTCATCCAGGAATAACTGGGAAGGCATGGGAAACGCAGCCAGCTGTGCATGTCACAGAGGCCAAGCTCACTCAGTGGCAACCTCTGTGAGAACGCTTCACTGGGACAGCTCCTTGGTCACATGGCAAAGCCCCTCTCAACTAAGTTTTGGTTTCAAACTGCAAACAACCTTGACAAGATAAAATGTACCAAGTGTCTTGTCTGTAGGACAAATTATAACCATTTTTCCTCAAGCAATTTTAAGAACAAACAAAGTTGAAAATATAAATATGCAAGCATACAGTAAACCAAAGTCTATACTTAGAAGAAATTTGGGTACAAAGCACAGCAGAGCCTGTGACTATGGAAGTTAGAAATACAAACTAGCAAGGAAGCAATACATAATTGCAAAACAGCAGGAAACAAGTTCTCCAATACCATTATTTAGATAATTTTGTTGGAGTTTTAAAAAAGATCCCCGTTGATCATTAAAACACTTGACCAGAATAAACCAACAGTATACCTTAAATCATATTGAATGACCCATTTAATTGAACTCCTTAGTGAACTTTTCAGTTTTGCATAAGCAGGAAAGTTCCACAACGTCTGTAGATTTGCTCAAAATCCCTGCTGGTTTTTATGAAAGTTTTTAAACGTTACTGTCTTCCTCATCTGCTGGCATTATTAATGCAATACTCTAATGGTTTACAAGCCAGCATTTATGCTTCAGGTGTTGGAGTGCCCTGTGTGGGTCCCCAGGGACACGGTCCTGATTTAATTACAGCAGCAGGCTGTCACACACCTGCTTCCTCCTTGCAGAGGATAGAGTGTGAACAACTCCAGACTTCAGATTTTTCAGGCCTGGACTGTAACACTCACGTGAAAGAGGGATGCCAAATCCATATGCCACTTGTCAGAATGCTCATGAAGCTGAGCACAAAAAACAATTCTAGCCAAGTTACCTTCCAGGGAGTGGACGAGGCATGATGGCAGGTTACGGAGACAGGACACTCTTCCCATCTGTAATTGAAACGCCAGTTCCCTGCCTGGGGGTGGCTGGAAAACAGCAGTCTACAGCTGCTTTACAAGACTGACCAGAAGATGACATTTTTTAGAGGCCTACAGAAACCATTCAGGGCACACCCATTTTCATTCAAAGCTAACCTATGGAGCCTATTTCATTTGAAAGTCAGTCCTCAAGTGTTTGTGGTGCTTTGATGGGATCTGGAAGGGAGTACTCTGAATAATTTAAGACATCTTAAAGACAGAATAGGTGTGAAGGACTCTATATCCTGCGTGCTTTAAGTATTTCTTAGGAACTTAGTATTTGTTCCTCAATATGAAACCTAACACAGCTAAGAAATGTTACTTAGGCACTGTGAGGTGTATTAATGGTGAAGCACGAACCCAGGTCCAAGTATACACTCTTATCTACTGGCCAAACCATTAACAAGCACTGTCTGAGCCACTGACCCCTACTCCTGAGATTCTTAAGAATGAAAACCTATTTCCCAACCTTTAAGAGAACCAAAAGCTAATTTTAAGAACTGCACAAATGAAGGTATTAGAAAAGATGTTTTCTTTTGTAAGGCATCAATGATTAAGCAGAATGTGTATCTGACAAAAGATGGTTAACAGTACCATAAAACCATTTTATGTTTTGTTTTACACTTCTCCAATTCTTGCCACTTCTGCCAGATTAAATGAGAATGCCTCCTGGCCTCAACAACTACCGCTTTAAAAACTAAGACATCCGAAGCTATGAGGCACATCAAAGGTACAGTTTATGTAGTTCAAGGTTCCCTTCCAAAGGGGCAAATGAATTACCTGGCACATTGTACATATGGAACTGTAAAGGTCATCTAACTAAATTTAACTTTCACATTGTAGTCAAACTGAAAGACTGAGAGGAAATATTCAAACATACCATATATTCAATTACAGCTGAGTAAGTGTAACACTTTACCAGATAAAAAGCTGGAAGTTAAGTATGAGAAACCTTCATATACTGTGCTAGTATTGGTCTCTTTAGCTGAAAGCCAGTCATCAATACTTTCAACACAGCAGTTTAGAAGATAATCGTCCAGAACAGGTGACTTTGTTGTAGTCCGACGCAGCGATTCAATGCCACTGGCATCAGAGTGCTGTGGAAAGCAAGTGTATCTCCATATCCTAGTCAGACTTGTCTTTCTTCTTTCCTGTTAAGGGCACTTTGTTGACAACGGCAGACCCCACTGCTGTGACACCTCCAGCCACAGCGGACACGCCCCCTCTCACCAGCCCTATTCCCATGGAAGGCACAGTTGTAACAGCTGTTTTGGTCACCTCCAGACTCTTTCCACCAATCCAAGCCACACCGCCAATGGTGGCGCCAACAGCTCCCTTGGTAACACTGAAGATACCCCCAGTCACACGGGATAACATGCCTGGCTGCTGCTGCGGATGGTCCTTCATGGAACCTAACAAGAGAAAACACGACGTCAACTCTGAGTCCCCACGACAGCAGTGCGTAGCCATCAGGTGACCCTCCTCAGTCGGCAGTTGACTGAGGACAATGAAGAACTGTCACCTTGAAGGTACATGCAGCCATGTGTTACACACCTTGGTCCAGTGCTGTGTTGGTGTCTCCAGAAAGAACTGCTGTAACCACCAGACAACAGTCATACACGGAACCCTATTTTAAATGTTTCCCTTTGATTTTACAGGCTTTACTGTTTATCTTTTTTACATCCTAAAAGGAACACGAGAAAACAAAAGATAAACACGGGTAGCCCTTCATTCCCTCGCTACAGTGCCTCAGTCGTTACTGGAACAGTGGGCCTCATATAAAGCAGTGGTTCTCACGTACAGCCTAAGAACCCTAGGGCTTCCGGAGACTGTCTTTCCCCTCTCAGGAGGCAAAGATGCTTTCATAGTAACAGAAAACTATTGCTGTCTTTTAACTTTCACTCTGTCACGAGCCCACAGCGGAGTTTCCCAGAAACAGATGACGTGCAGTAGACAGAGGGCAGAAGCAGCTGTCCTGCCCGGGTTCCAACAGGCTGCGCAGAGCCCGTGGGCAGCGTCATCTGATCACATGTCGTTGTTTTGGAAAGAGGTACTTCTCATTACAGCATGTTAATATGGGTTTGTTTGGTTTATTTAGTGAATAAAAGATGAAAATTTCTCCATTTTTATTGATAATACGGTAAACACAAGCTCTGTGAGGCCTCAATTTTTGAGTGTAAGAGTGACCTGAAACCAAATAACCTGGGAATCATTAACTTAAATACATTTGGGTCACTGCTCAGTTGTGTCCCTTAAAATTTATTTAAAGGGCTAAAGCTGTGTCAAGACAGGAAAATTAGTCATTAAAGTCCTAGTGCCTAAAATCATCTTTCTTCAGAGGTATGCAGGCCAGATAAACTCCACACAGCATGGCCGATACTTCTGTCAGCTCCTCAGTCACTCTCACAGGACAGAAGCTGTGCTCCAGCATCTATAGTTTTATAGCATTCTGCAGACACTCAAGAGAAGGTAGCCCCAGCAGAAAAATTTAGCTTTTCCTAAGTCATGACTTTTCTTTGGTTAAAAAATTTTTTTAATGGGACCACACAAATTACCAGGTAACTTCAAACTGCTGAGATGTCTAATGGAGATTTTGTCAGCCTTTGACTGCACCCGCTTCAAGTGAACACAGTACTTTAGGCAGCAACAACAGCAAGCAAACATCATCGAGAAGTGCGTGCTGACTATGAATCCAAGCTTCACTCCCTGACCAGGTACAGGCTCGTACAGAGGGAGGCTTCTTGGGTACACAGGAGGGAACAACAGCACCAAGCTGCCAGATCCTAGCAGAGTGAGGTAATCAGAGAAGGTAACAGGGAATCTGCTAACACTTAATGGAGAAAAAGGAAGAATTCTGGAAATCGAGTTTTCTAATACACAAAGCATAAATTCACCTTGAGAAAGTTTTTCTCCACAGTGTTTAAATAGTACACAGATATGTGTATAGCAATGGCTACATTTTTAAAAAGGTCAATCAAATGCTTGCAGTAAAACCAAATAGTGGGGCCTGTGATGCAGCTCAGCGATCAAGCCTTTCCTGCATAGCATGTGCAAGGTCCTGAGTTCAATCTCCATGATCAAAACACTCACAAGCAAAAATTGACATAAAATTTTAAATGGCTACAATAAAAGACAAGGATCTAGACATGACAAGCTTAGGATGGAATGGATTCCATAACTAGTAACTTTTTTGTATGTAAAGTCAAACACAGGAAAAAAAGCAAAACTCTGATCTGAGGGTTGCAGGTGACGAGCCAAACACCGGATATCTCACTTGCAAAACTATCTTGCTTTGCTAAATTTGCTACACATGCATTTAATGAGGACAAATTATTTTTCACAATCAAGTACGTATTAATACAGTTCTCTAATTAGTGTACTCTTAATCACACCACATAAATGGTGCTTTTTAAGCAGGTGGCACATGAAAACATTCCTGGGGCTCTGCTCTCTCCCTTGACAATCAAGCTCCTGGGTGGCCTGTATCCCCTTCTCATTTCTTTCCCAGAAACTGCGTAACTCTCACCGAGGTCTAGCTCTTCTTTTCAGAACTCTACTAGGGGTCTAGTCCTGAAAATAAGGTAAGGAAAAGAGCTGACCTAATAGTTTTCTACGTTATTCTGCCAGTAAGTCAAGTCAATTAGTTCCTCCACCTTCTTTTAGGCTTAAGTGAAGTTTTTCATTGTGTTGTTTTCCTAGCAATTTCATTTGCTTGCATTGCAATATATACAGAAAACTGAAACAGCAGGGGACAGAACTGGGAAGAAAATACAATGCCTCAAGTCAGGACTTCTAGCAGTCAACATGCAACTTGCCAGGGAGATCATTATATTAACAACAGTTTATATACCAGTGATGCCAAACCTATGGAACACATACTGCAGGGGCTATTTGTATCACTGAAACCTTTAAAAGGTTTGCCATCACTGGATACCAAAACCATAAATAAAAAATGTCTATAGTCATTTCCTGTATGTGTTATGGTTTGTGTCTGGATGTCCCCCCAAAGCCTCATGCAGTTATGGGGCGGGCTTCTAGAGTTTATTTAGGATTCAGGGTCCACCGCTGGAATTATGGATGTGAGCACTACACCTGCCCTGGGGCGAGTAGTTTGCATACAATGTAAGGGAGGGAAAGAGGCTGCTTGCCACTGCTCTTCCTTTCTGCTCTTGTTGCTTTTGCTGTCTTCTGCAGCCATGAATGGTTGCTCTCTGCAATGTGCCACTCTGCCTTGGAGCCAGCCACGTACGGACTGAAACTTCCACAAACTGTGAGCTAAATAAATCTTTCTTTCCTTAATTTTGGGCATCAGGTATTTTGTCTCAGCAACGAGAGAAAAGTAACCAAGACAGTATGAAACCAGGACCAGCGCGGGGGCTGTGATTGTTTTCAAAGCTTTTAGAAAAAAATGATTCATGATGTCACTATTTTCAATCTAAAAAAGAATTAAATTCAGAAAGCCAATCTAAGCAGTCCCCAAAACCTTGTATTAAGAAATAGCTACCAATTACAACAGCTTAACATCTCGAATGCCTCTGGCAGTAGGTGATTTTTGGTTTTTTTTGTTGTTGTTTTTTTCCCAGTACCGGGAATTGAACTCACGACCTTGCGCTTGCCAGGCTGGCACTGTGCCACTGAGCTAAATCCCCAGCCCCTCAGTAGGTGATTTTTGGTATGCAGGACATCAAACATAAACACAGTCCACCCTTCCTCTGTGCCTCCTTGCACCTTTATAGATGAGAGGGTGTTCTTATGAAATGGTCTAAAAATAAAGGGTGGTCAAAATTAAGCTGTATCTCTGTTCACCAGTATCGGTACTTCTTTACTCCAGGCTAAAAATGTTTATTTTGGGGATGTACTTACTGACCAGGTAAATAGACTATAATTCTTTACAGTTAATAAAAATAATCAGAGCTTTAATTCACTAGGAATTAAATTCCTTCCAGTCTTAGTGTTATAGATGCATATTTACCTTCTGGTGGTTCATCACTAAGGTAGGATGGGATTTCCTGCGGATTTTTATCTGCCTGATTCATGATCTCCTAAAAAACAAACAGATACATTAGTTTTAAAGTGACACTACCACTTACCACATACTAAATTAAGACTTAACCAGCTTTATTCAGAAACCATTTTTAAGAACCCACAAGACTACTTCATCCTCTCTACTTCAAACTGTAGTGTTTAACCAATACCCTAGGGATGGAGACTTAGTTCAGTGACACAGCATCCACCTGGCAAGTGTGAGGTCCTGAGTTCGATTCCCAGTACAAAAAAAACCCTAAATAGCAATAGATACTACAAGTTTTGTCTAAAACACCAGCAGAATGGCAACTCTGTGTCAGATTCCCTACACTGTTACTGTGCAGAACTGAAAGTGGTCAACTGAGACGGCCAGAAGGTGGAGCTGAGCAGAAGTAAATGCACCCCTGTCTTACAGACACCACGGATCTGAATCAGTAAGGAATTCTGCAGACTGCCATGTTCTTAGAGCTCTTAGGAAAAGAGGTAGTAATGAACTTAAAAATCTACTTATAGAAAAATATAAATGATTATTTCTGTGTTAAAAGTAGGAGGTCTAGGAGATAAAATAAGCTATCATGGGATAAAGAAAACATGCTTAAAATTTCTTTCCCCAATTTCATTTACTATCTTAAAATTTGCTTTTAAATTCACATGACTAAGTAAAAATTAAGACAAGTCAAATTGGTCTAAAAGTGCTCTTTAAGATGTACTATCTTGCTTGGGCAAAAACTAGGTTTGTGACCCCAGCAGTCAACCAAGCATTTCTTAAGTCATACATGCTTAGAGCCTAAATCGCCACCTCTGAACATAAGCAACAGATATTTAAAGGACATTGTAGAAACTGACATGGTACTTTAATCATTAATTAGTGAACAAATAGTGATTGAGCACCTACTCTGGACTAGGTGATGGGATACAGCAGTGATCATGCAGACCCAAGAGTCCCTGTTCTCATGAAATGGCCACTCTAGTTGGGGGAAAGAGTTAAAAAAATACACAAACACTATATGGCATGTCTGATGGTGCTAAACGCTGTAGAGAAAAAGGCTAGAGGAGAAGAGGACGTGCTACCTACACAGGACTGTGTGTGAAGGCTTCAGTGCAGTTACAGCCCACAGGAGGAAGACGTGTCAGATACAGGCAGGAGGTTCCCCCTGACAAGGTTGTACACGCTATCTACTCCATGTTAGTTATTTCCTGCAGCAGTTTTAGGTATCAGATAGGCAGATGAAGAGCAAGGGCAAAGGTCCCCAGGCGGGAGCTTAGGGGCAACAGCAAGAATGAACCATCAGTAAAGCAGGCAGGGGCCACACCAGTGGCAGCAGGAGCCAAGGCCAAGCGTGTGCGGTGGGGCGCAGACAGGCAGGGCCTGCAGGCAGCTGGAGCCTGGCTCTTACTGAGTGGTAGGAAGCTAGGAAAGGGAGTGGACAGAGGAATGGAGTTCTGATTTACATTTTTACAAGATCTTCCTGGCTGCTGTAGGGAGAACAGACAACAGGAGAGGTCAGCAAGGAAACAAAAAACTGCTAGCAAAGGCTGAGGAAAATGGGATTTTCAAAGGTAAGTTTAACTTCATGCAATTCATCTTGCCATGACTTTAAAACGAAAATCCTAACCAGGTGTGGTGTCCCATGCCTATAATCCCAGCAATCAGGGGGCTAAGGCAGGAGGACCACTGCAAGTTTGAGGCCAGCCAAGGCTTACAAAGTGAGTTCAAGGCCAGCCTCAACAGTATAGTGAAACTCTGTCTCAAAAACAAACATAAATCCTATCTGTGATGAGACTCCATTGTACCCCAAAGTCCAACAGCACATACCATATGTTTCATGAATACCTTTTAGTGCTCTAGTGAGAGTCCTGCTCAGGCCACTTAGCAGTAGCACCTAATCTCATCCCGGTCTGCTTGGTGAATTTGGCACATCCTATATATACTTAAATTTTAAAGAGTAATAGCAAAGCTATATGACCTCTTATAGAAAGCCAAAAGATGACAACTGGTACATTCCTCAGAGAAGAGGTTCTTTTTTTTTTTTTTAATTTAATAAAAGGGCATATTTATTTATGTTTACAAACAAGTTTCAAAAACAAAAGGAAAACATGTATGCTTCTACTTATTAACCGTTTTCAAAATGCCAACAGCCCTCATGCTGTATGAAGGTCTCTTAAGGATTAGAAAAATCAATACAGTTCACTCACAGTTCACCAAGACATCACTGAACTAACAGACAAAAACAAAAAGGACTGAAGTTCTCTTGTAATAGTTTGATTTAATTTGATTTGCCTGAAATAACAAAAGCATTTCAAGCATCTTTCATTATGTAGTTGATGTCCTGCATTAAACAATCTACTAAATTCTGAACAAAGGTTATTAGCAAGTTTTCAAAAATTTTAAAAATTAAACAGTTGTTTCAAAACCATTAAGTAGTAAATGTATTTAAGAAACTAATCAGGACAGATGCCATAACTTCATTAGAACACCACTGCTCATGTTTTTTTTGTTTTGTTTTGTTTTTTCTTTTTTTAAACAAAGCATTAGTGTTATCTATTTGGCTATTAGTATTAGCAATTTATCTACAATATTTAACAAGGTAAATTGTAGGCAAAAATTTAGTACAGTTTCAATAGAAACACCCCTTTTTTTCCTGAAAATACAGCAGTATTTGAAGGACTAATTTTTCTGTGCATCAGTTGTAAGGAAGCTTCCCATCTATGAACAGGAACAAAAAAAGTATCTACAAACCTTTGTACACAGATCTTTATCATTTATAAACATAAATAATCCAAATTATTAACAGCCAACAGCAGAAATTAAAGATTCAATTCAATTCAATGATCCAGGGCTCTTTGTCTCGCCCAGCTCGACTCAGAGAAGAGGTTCTTGATGATTCTCTAATTTGAAAATTCCCTCAAACTTGACAATTGTATTTATTTCCATTCACATGTATTTTTTCTTCAATTTATCATCATCATAAGATCATAACATTATACAGCATAGTGGATAAGGCTCTGGGATTGGAAAGCCTAAAGCTGAATCCCAACTTGACCATAAGCTGTGTGGCAGAGGAATAATAACTTCATTACTCTTTCTATTTAGGAGTTTTCAAATACAAATTAAAGATATTACGGCCCTAGCTCTAAAATACTATTTAACAAATTCCCAAACAAAACATACAGAAACTCCTAGCAGAATGTGTATTTTGTCTGTGGAAAACGGCTGTTTTGGAGGCACTACCCCCAACCCCCGAGACTGTTAAATTCAAGAAAATAGACACCTTTGTGTGATTTGCCTATCACTACAATTCAGTATACATACTCCACACACACACACATACACACACAGAGACACATATACACAAGATGACAGGCTGATCACCAATCAATAGAAGCAAGCATACCCTCACAGAAACGTGGGTAAATCACATGCACACAGAAACTCAGAATTCTAACTGGAGCTGGAATTGGATTACGACAGTAACTGCACAAAGTGCGTGTTTCTTTGCGGTGCCAAATCCCTACTGGTAGTCTTACTTGTCCTCCTAATACAGGGTCCTTTAAAAAGTGTGTTTTCTACACTGTTATCTGTTGTACAGTTAGAAAATACCATCCTTTAAAGATAAGGGTTACTTTATACTATAATTTTATTAAGACATCTGCAAATTCATCTGAACAATGTAAATGGACTTCACCCTTCTGTGTGCAGGTGCTGAGGCGCCAAGAGCTTCCAGAAGCACACTGAGCTTTAGGGCCTGTGCTGTAAGAAGCCACCTAACACAAGAACAGACGGAAGTCAGTGCTACTTTAGTCCAGTGAGGTGGAAAACAGTCTTAACTGTTTTTCCTGTCCAAATAAATGCTTGGGCCAAAAATCTAGAAGTCACACTGACTTCCTTTCTTTATGTCAGTAAATTCTGTTGCCTAAATAAACCCAGAACATGAGCGCTTCTCATCACCACTTCCACACAACACTAGACCACCTAAGTCACCATAAGCTCCACTCAAACTACCAGAAAATCTCTGAACTGGTCTCTGAGCTTCCACTTGTGCTCTCTTTTCAGTCCAGCCATGGACTCTCTCTCAAACTCTATTGACTCACAGTAAAATCCAGAGTCCTTACACCGTGGCCTTGCAGCCCAGAATCTCACTCCCACTTCTACTTTAGCATTATCTCCTACTAGAACAGTCTTGTTTGTCCCGCTCTGGAACAGCGGCCCTGTGTTTATCCTCTTCTGAAGGCTCTTCCCAGACCTGCACCTGGCTCATCACCCACCTCACTCAGGTCCCTGCACAAACGTCCCTGGCCACCTATTAACAGCAGAGCGCCCGGGGCTGGGGATTTAGCTCAGCGGCAAAAGCGCCTGCCTGGCATGCGCAAGGTCGTGAGTTCGGTTCCCGGTACCGGAGAAAAACAAACAAACAAAAAAAAACAAAAAAAAACAGCAGAGCACCCTCTACCACTCTCCCTGTCATCTTCACCTAACCTTGATATGCTTCTATCTTTTTGTCTTTCCACTCAGAATGTTAACTCTACAAGAATGAGGATGAGGTGTTATTCACAATTCCATCTCCAGAGCTTTCATCAGTGTCTGATGCACGGGGAACACCCAACACTGTACTTGAATTTTCTGTATGAAGGAGCGTATCACTCAGGTATCAACAAGAGACGAAAGGGAAAATCTAGGATGCTGGACACCTAGAGTAAGGAACTAAGGTGACGATGAAGACAGGGGACTTTAGAAGAGAACCCATCCTGGCAACCTCCCAACACGCTGTTTGTGAGACGCCTCCAGGGCATCCACAGAAGCCTTCAGCAGTCAGCAGATTTAGGCCAGAATTGGAGCTGAGCTTCTCAGAGTGGCCTGAAGCGATGGTGGATGCTGTCAGCAGGTGACAGGATCAAGAAGAGGAGGGCTGGGAAGGGCTCTTAACTGGACTGCTCACAGCTGAGGTCAACAGAAGAAGAACCAATAAAAACCAGGAAAGAGTGGTCAAATGAGTACACCTTCACAGAGGGCAAGGAAACACTCCTCGGCTTTCTAAAGATATATATAACAAAGATATTAAAATAATTTATGACTAGCAAATACAACAGGAAAATGTAAATATTATCTTAGAGACTAGTATAGAAGATATATACCATATGATCAAATTATTTTTAAAACACACAAAGAACAGTAGGCCAAAGTGTTAAGACCTCCACTAAGGGGAAGAAACATGCCTGTAACAGTGATGGTGAACCTTTCAGAGACCAAGTACCCAAACTGTAACCCAAAACCCACTTATTTATCTCAAAGTGCCAACATTGCAATTAAACCCAAATACTGAGGTTTTAGTTTAAAAAAAAACAACTCAAACAGTCACATCTTTTGTCTTAAAAGAAAAACAACAGTGTGCCATAAGGTCACCACCACAGGTGTATAAGGTATTGATAAGATACGTATTATTTAAATATATTTATAGTTTAATGTAGTATTTACAGTCAGTATTTCCATATATATGCATATAAAAATATGCAGTTAACATTTCTATTTTTATTTTCTACCATAAAAATTAAATTTGCAATTAAAGAAAAGATGTTTTTAGTCCTGGAAATCAATGATGTTTACAAATGGTACTTTAAAGTTCATCTGATCCCACTTGTTCTGGGTTTCTGTCTACAGGTGAAGTTGCTCATCTAGAAAATAATGTACTTGAGTCACATGATGCTTTAAGAAAATGATACAACTGGTGAATTTTGCTCACGCATGTGCCCTTGGGGGAGGAGGTCCTGACAAACCTGACTACGTGAACTGTACGGTCAAGACCACTACCCCATTATGTCGCCGAATGGCTCTGATGTGGAACTCTACACAAGTAACTTCTGTAGAGGCAATTATTCAGAAAAATATCTTGGTTTTAGTGTTTTCCTTGACATCTTTTTTCTATTTAAGAGGAAGTACAAAGATACGATGTCTCCCTTCTACTGCCAGCTTCTAGGGAGCTTTTAGCTGAAATCCAAACTCCACTAAGTAGCCTCTTGTGGCCTGTGTTGTCTCCCCACCCCCTCAGGACTGTGACTGCCATTTTATATCTGGCTTGCAATATGAACACCTTATTTATATTTGTACCATTCTGTTAAGTGTTTTTGCTATATCACAAAGCACATATCAACACACTACCCAAATTTTTAGTGTACAAAAAAAAAAACTAAGCTATGACTGTGCTTTTCAAGTGTACCTTTTTGGAGTGGGCAGTGGTTTGCCTGGGGCTTGAGAAGCTGCAGGAGAGACACGACACATGCATCTTATTCTGCAGCAGTTTAAACACTTAAATTCACACACAGTAAGAAGTGAAATGGATGGTGCATGGGAGTTTTTCCACAAGCACTAGACTTTCAGGAATCTGCTTCTGGGTCGCTCTCCTCTTACCTGTGTCCCACCAGCCCAGCTACATGCCCACTCCTACCACTAGGTCATTCATTCTGTACCAGACTCTGAAATGCAGAGTTACCTACTATAATTCAGAAATACAGTTACATTTAAAATTATTAGTGATAGTTACCGATAAAGTTAAAAGAGCAAATCTGGATCCCTGCCAGGCCATGCATGGCTACCCAGACTAGAGGACCTTGAGGTCTTAAGTGGCCAGAGACAGGGTTCTGATTTGATCTTAATGTCTGACTTCCTTATTTATCACTTGTCTTGACACCAAGCATGCAGTATTAAAATTCCTCTGAAACTCTTAGGGTAACAAAAGTTGTGTAAAATCCAGAAGTATTTTAGATCCCCCCAATTCCAAAGTGTAAGACAGTTACCTTTCTTCCTTCCATATACAAAAACTATTCCTAACCGCTACATGCAGATACAACAAAATTTTAATGATAAACCTCTCTGTGGATATTACCATGTTACTACTAAAGAGAAATTTTTTATGCAGTTATCTCCCTTATCTACAAGGGATCTGTTGTGACACCCCCAGTGAAAGCCTGAATCTGCAGATAGTACCAAACCACCCATCTACTGTTTCTCCTGTGTATACATCCATTCCTATGATATAGTTTAAATCATACACCAGGCAAACAATAACAACAACGATTATAACAATATATTATAATAAAATCAATATGGTCTCTCAAAATATACTTTCACATTTTCACTTAAAGGAAGCACTTTACAGTTTCTAAATCTCAACTCCAACATCACTTGCACTTTGGGGTGATAATTAAGTAAAGTAAGAATTACCTAATTACAAGCACTGTGGTAATCTATGTGATAACCTAGATTAGGGCTATTAAGTGACTAACAGATGGGCAGCATATACAGCATGGATACTCTGGACAAACTGACAGACTCATGTCCCAGGTAGTATGGAGCAGCACAGTGCAAGATTTCTTTAGATTACTCATAATGGTATGTGACCTAAAACTTACTGTTTACTCCTGAATTTTCCATTTAATATTTCTGGAAAATATGGTTGACTGCAGGTAACTGAGACTGCATGAAGGGAACCCCATGGGTAAGGGGGTGCTGTTGCATTAGCCTTCTGCTGGATACCACCACTGCACACCTGTTTCTCTTCAAATGGGAATTGTAATGACAAACACAATCCTTATGCCCTAAATATAATCTAATAAATGAAAAATACACATGTGGTGACAACTACAAATTGTGTGAAAATGGCAATTTTAAAATGTTACCTTCAAATGATACGTCAAACAAATTAAATCCCATATAAACCATGTTCCCTGAACTCACTGAATCATTAGTTTGACATATGTCTGAGTCCTACTATGTGCTAGGGATCCTGCTAAACAGTTAAGGTTCCCACATAATTAAACATAAACACACCCCTCTAAATGAGAGCCTACAATCAAGTGGAAACATACTTTCCCAGCAGTTACCCTCGTTTGTTCTGTTCACTCATTCAAGAAACAGTCTATTTTTGAGATCTCTAGGAGCTCATAATGCATGTATGTTCCTACTGAAGAACATACTTTCCCAGGAAAGGGCATGCTGACAGACAACAACCTTTAGATCAGGACCACGACTTGAGTTACTCGATGGACACAAATCAGTTCTACCTTTTGGTCCTGACGTGACGCCAGTTGTAAGCAGATTTTTAAAGAAACCGTAACTGTGAAAGACTTTTTTGCTATAGACTGTACAGCATGACAGCTAATCCATCAACAGTTCTTCAGTGGGGTGCAGATGCATAATTCGTGTCCAGTACAACAGCATCACAGATAGAGCAGCTGGCAAGGAGACTGAGTAAAGACCAGTAACACCACCATCCGCTAGAGTAATTTACTCCAATAATAGAAATAACAAACACCTCTTTGAAAACTCTCCTTTAAAAAAAAAAGGAAAACAGATGAATCAGTGTGGTTTGTGGATTTCAGCTTATATAAATCCGACTTTTTTCACACTGTAAACAAAGTCTAAACAGTACACATATTTACCTATGCGTACCACCCCTGTAACGTAACAAATTCAGTAGTTCTTTGTATAAAGCTCAACTACAACAGTACACAACAGGCTAGCTTTAGCTGCTTCAGAATATGTTATTAACAAGTAAGTGCCAATTTTCCTATGTAAGAGAGATTGTAAGTGAAGTAGCTAGATTCTTCTACATGTTCTATATATAGGAACTTTGCCACATCCTCACTCCCATGTCTTAGTTCCTTTGCCAAGTAACTGCTAGGATATGCAAAAATACATTACAGAGAGTGCTAACACACAAACACCGACGTCAGTGTACCTAAAACACCAGCCTGCTGTCTGTGGGCTTCTCCAGGGAACCATCCTGGCTGAGCAGGCAGCTTGGAAAGGTGGCCCCTGCCCACTGATCAACAATAAACTGACTACCAGAAATGCATTGAGGCCAGCAAGGAAGAAGACATCATCTGTCACTAAAACTTGTAAGCTATACAGTGACAAGTAACAACTGTGGTGGGGATGTAGCTCAGAGGTGCAAGGGCCTGCCAGGCAAGCGCAAAATCCTGAGTTCGATTCCCGGAACCACAAACAACAACTGACAGCGTCAAAATGGCACCTTTCAGGGGCTGCCAGGGAAACACCAAGCAGTCACAATACTGTCCACTCAGGGAACCGGTACATCTGTTGTTCTCACTAAATTACAGATTCCTCGCTGGTTCAGCTGGCAGTTGCATCCCTACCATGTGCCAGACGCCCTTAGGCACTGAAGCGGAGGAGCTTAGGTACAAGAAGTGCAAACCCTCGGGACGATAAGGAGCTCCTGGAGTGTAAGAGGCAGGCACACACAGCCCTGCACGCGTCTCTGCAGGCACCCCCTCACCCTTTGTAAGGCTGCCCGCGCTGGACGCACAGTGCTTCAGCTCAGCTTGGCTGCCGACGCGTCTGCGGTAACAAAGACCAGAGCCAGGGAAGCCGAGGCACAACAGCATGCCCCCGGGTCTGGGAGCGGCTACTCCCTCCCGTCTCCAGGCAGGTACGAGCCACGCACTCGCGTACCTGTCGGGCGGCCGGGCGTCGGGGAGCCCAGGAGCTCGCGCATCGCCAAGCCGTGAAGGGTAAACAGCACCTGCCCCCAGCAGGACCCGCTTCCGGGGCAGGCGCCGCGCCGACACGGCCCCGGCCCAGGGGTCCCGCCCTCCGCAGCCGCTCCCCGGGGATCCCGAGGCGTGACGTGGCAGGCGGCAGAAAGGGACCCCGGAGGCGCCGTGGGTG